ACTGATAAATAACTGTGAAGTTACTGATCAGTGCTTTTTGAAAGAAATTCAAGTTGAACTTGATAATTCCACGACTCAAAGCTATCCAGTTTTTTTAATGGCACTGTCCAGTGCTGCTCGAAATTAAATTCATATCCTTGTCATGGCGGTGGCGCTTCAATAAGTCTAGTAACTGGACAGCTATGCTAGGATTTTGTGTATTGACATTTCGCTTGCTTGATTTAAAAAAATTACAACTTGTTTATAAAAATTAATAATAATAATATTAATATTCCTTTCTCAAAAAAAGACAGTGCATACAAAACACATGAAAATGTATCGAAATATCTCGGTGGTCGAAAAAATTGAATTTAAGAAAAAATGAACTTTGCTTTCCAGAGCATCTAAATCAATATTCATTTTATGAAAATCACTGTAAATTATTGTTCCACATATATATTTTTTGCATAACTTATCTTATTGCAATAAATATACACTTGCAAAATATTATTTGTTGTAAATGTTTGCCAGCTGTCATGAATCAGAAACGAACATAACCTATATTTAGTTGAAATCACTTGATTGGCCCAAGACAAAATAGCGCGCGCTTTTTTAAAATAATAAAATTTATTAAATTATAATAAAATAATTGCAATAAATTAAATTATTATGAAAATAATATTACCTTGAATAAAAAGTGTTTTTAGTTTTTAAAAAAAAATGATTAAACAATTATTATTATTTTCAGACAAATTTTACAAATATAGTAGAATATTATTTTTCTGTTTGAGTATATTATAATAATATAATAATAATAATAATAATAATAATAATAATAATAATAATATTATATTATATCAATAATTATTAATTTATTAAAATAATTTTATTTATAAAATTTTACATATAATTTTTGAGGATAATAAATAAAAAAAATTAGTAATTAGTTTTTTATAATTGTCTAATGTTTAAATTAAATTATAAGTAAATCATTTAAAATCAAATAAACATCTAAAATGTTTATTTGCCTAGAAAATAATAAAAATAATATGCACAAATTCATAATATTATTAGGTACAGTGAAATACGTCAAGCATTTATTCTAATATCACTGATCAGAACGGCCGAGTTGCGTAAAGCGTGCGTTTCTTTCGTTCCCGCCCAGCGGACCCGTGTTCGCTCCCCGGTAGCCCCAAGATTTTTTCGTTGAAACTGCGAGAAGTGTTTTAAGGTTTATGTTATGACATTCATATTAATATAAAAATTATAATTGTTTCAGTGTTGTTAACAGTTCAGGTCAAGATGTTGCTTCAATCGTTTTACTTATGTAAATTTTTTTTTTAAATCCAGTTTAATTGTGAATGAAAAATTACATTTTTATAACGAATTACTATATTTAGTGCAATATATTTTCTTATAATAATTTTTGTTGATAATTGGAATATTTTTTTTAATTACATAAAATAAACGTGTTTACTACATTAAATCTTATTATTAAATGAATTTCGAAATATTTAAAAGAATTAATTTGACTAGTTTTTCAAAAGTCCTATTGATAAATAATTATCAAGTTGGGCTGGATAATAACTTGATGAAAAAAGCGTGACATGACATTCGAGTTTTTAGCTAGCTGGTCAGTCAAGTAACTAGACAGACTCCAGCGCGACTAGGCAGTTCCTTTAAAATAGCTAGGACAAATTTCTACTAGGGAAAATAAAAAACAACGGAACCGACGGAACTCTTGCGTCCGTCCCAGCTTTGTATCCCCCCTTGCGGCTACAATATTTAATATAGAGAGCTGAAATTTGGTACATACATATATTTTCACGTGTAGATTACAGGAAAAATATAGCGAAACCGATTGGATTTGATGGCTACGAGCTAGAAAGGAAAGAAATCGGGTTTTTTGAAAAGTTTGCAAAAAATGCCCCTGCCCCTCCCTTAACTTCTACATTTTTGTATAAAAAGAACTGCAATTTAGTACACATACGTATTTTTACTTGTAGATTACAGGAAAAATATAGCGAGACAGTTTGGATTCGATGGCCCCTTTAACTGTACTTTACACTGTAAAAAAATTAGGGAGTTAACGACACCTGGAGTTGGGAGTTAAATTTTTCGAGTTAAAAATCAACTCCTTAAAACTAACTCCCTAGGCATTGTGGCAAACAGTTGTGCTATCTGGGTAGTCGGTTGCTAGGCGGTATCATGATATGATCGCAAAAGTAGGCCTGTTCGGTTAAGCAGCGTCTACAATAAGCGCGTCGGACGCGGACGTGTACCTAATGAGAGAGAGGGGTACGGAGATATACATCTATACCCCTCTCTCTCATTAGGTACATGTTCGCCTCCACATCCGACGCGCTTATTTTAGACGCTGCTTTATAGAATTCTATAAATGAATGATCGGTTATGTACCTCGTTAATCGATTACAGTGAAATAACCGGTTGCTCGGTTAAAGCTGAATGTTCGGTTATAACCACACTGTAAAAAGTAAATCTTATTTTAAGATGAGCCTTAAATTCAGCAGTACTAGCCATAATGTATTTAAATTCAAATTGCATGTAAATCCATTGCTTAGATTCAGCAAGGGCTGTCTTAAAAATGTTGCCTCTTAAAATAAGACACCTTTTCTCTTTTAAAATAAGACTTTTTTCTTACTGTACAAATAACCAGTTATTTCACTGTAATCGGATAAGCGGGTGTATAACCGGTTTTGTTGAAATATTCTGTTATTTGGCAACATAAATATAACTGGTCACGCAGACACTAAATAAAAATCGAAATCTTTTTTAATTCCGTAAGAAATAATAATAAATAAATAAAATATTCTTTAAATAACTAAACTTAAAATGTCACGGTATATCAACCAGATGTCACGGTGATATCACCGGGGAATGTCACCGTGACATCAGGAAAATGTCAAAATGTCCGCCTTACGGTGATATCACACGGTGACATCGAGATGATATCATGGTGACATCAAGGTGATATCACAGTCATATCACGGTGATATCACCGTGATATCATGTTGATATTTTACAGGGATTTAAAACTTTTTAAAAATTATTATTTTTTATTATTTTTTTTATTTATTATTATTTTTTAAATTATTAAAAATTTTAAATCTCTGTAAAATATCAACATGATATCACGGTGATATCACCGTGATATGACTGTGATATCACTGTGATATCACTGTGATATCACTGTGATATCACTGTGATATCACCTTGATGTCACCATGATATCACCTCGATGTTACTGTGTGATACACGGAAAAACTTTGTTCAAGAATCATTCCTAAATTTGTTCAGGAACTGAGGATATGAGAAAAATTCTGCAAAATTTACAGAAAAATACAAAAGTCATTCAAGAAAATACTTGTATTTTTATTATGACATTGGAAGACTTCTTGTTAATGCCGCGATCGGAATATCTCAGTCACTGGGTGTTGAAAGTTTCTTGAACTGTTTTAGAAGACACAGTACAGTAACCAAGCACTAGGCAGGGATTGGTTGCGTCAAATATGTTTCCAATGCATAATACCATAAGCTGCTAAGGTAGCTGAGAGATGTAAAGCGCAGTTTTTGGACTCTCGAGGACGTGGGATCGAGTCCTCCCAGAATAAATTTTTTTTCTCGCAAACGTAAAAATTTATTCTAAAACAAGTTCAAGACTTTCTGTAGTGAGTTTAGGAAGTTGTCTTGAATTTCTCTACAATTCTTATAGAAATACTGCTTAGAATTTTTCAAAGAAAATATAAATAAGATTTCTTAAATTATTCTCATATCCTCAGTTCCTGAACAAATTTACGAATGATTCTTGCACAAAGTTTTTCCGTGTATCACCGTAAGGCGGACATTTTGACATCTGGTTGATATATCGTGCTACTTGGGTATATTTAAGAAAAATGTTTTTTAAAATAAAACGAATTAAAAATATACCTTAATGTGTATGTGTATGAAGGTAATGTGAATTAAAAAATTTTTTAAGCTAAAATATTAATATATTTTTATTTTGGAAAAATGTTCTTGTTATATTGTTTTTCATATGTTCCTAAATAAATTTAAATAATTTGAGAAGTTTTCTAGATTTTGATTTCAGGTTAAAGAAAAGGTTGACGGAGAATTAAAAATTTTTAATTTCCTGCTCTGCTGGCTCAGGTAAGGTTAATCGACAATGGCCAACACCAATCGCCAAACTGCAACTTAACTGAACCAACGGAGCCAAAGGGCAGATGACTCTTAAATAACCGATTATTTTTAAAAATATACACCAAAAATAGATTAACTTTTTGTAATTAAATAACTGGTTATAATAAAAGTCCGTTTTTTCAAAGAAACAATAAATTATTCCCGAGAAACTAGTTATTTTCAAATAATCGGAAAACGGTTAACCTTTTGTTCAAAAATTTCATAACCGGTTATAAGAATAACCGGATTTATAACCAATTAATCGGTTATAATTTATCGGTTATACACAGGCCTATGCAAAAGAAAGAAAAATTATAATTTTCAAAAAAATTAACAATTTGTCACATTTAATATTTTTTTTAAAAACTAATAAGCATTTCTTGACTGAACACCAGAAATTGGAATCTTAAATTGGTTAGATTAGGAGACAAAAAATAATTCGAAAATTATTTCTATAAACCAAAAAATTGATTTTTAATTGATTTAATCAAATATTTGATTAAACAGTTTTATCTTTCTCTGTAACGTTATATCACAATTCATATTGAGTTTGGCTTGACTAATTAAAAGAAAATCTAATTCATATAGTTTTTGAAATTGTTTTCATTTCGTAGAAAGGAGTTGTTTTGAGTTAATACTTATAAAAATAAATTACACAAGAGACCAGTAAATAATGCTCTGAAAAGTACGGACGAAATCTAAACTCTATCACTTTGACCATGCTTACCTTGCTCTTCTGTTTATTGTACATACATAATTTTTTATGAAACGTTAATTTTTTATTTGAATATATTTTATATCATTTTAATTTGTTCACAGTTTATATTTTCATATTTATTTATATTTCACTCAATTATGTATAGGAAGGTATCGAGGTATTTATTTCATTGATACATATTTGTCATTTAAAAAAGGCATATTTACAAAGTAGAGTCATTACAAATTATTTTCATAACTTGTTTCTTAAAATTAAAGTAGGAGGTAAACGAGTGGCTAAGGATAGTTATAGTTGAATTGATAGATTAGACTCTTTTTAATAATGAATGTTGAAGGATTTTCCAGTCAATCATCATTAACTGAGAATGAGCGCCACTGTTCACCCACTCGAGAGAATCGATACGCAGAATCCACGGTTTTTCGCCGGGTTATCTACACGCATTCGTGTACCTCCTGATAAAAGTGTACACCATATTCATGCTCGTCAGTGATTTTTTCAAAATCTTTTCAAAATCTCGTCCATGACCAATTCAAGTTCGGAACTTCTCTGACGGTTTTTAAATTTGTTATTGTTTATTGAAAGAGGAGAGAAAAAGCAAGAATAATGATGGGATTTTTATTTCCCGCTCGTCAGGGGTAGTTTAACTGAAATAGTGCCCCGAGACTTGAACCAGTTTTTAAGACCATTTTCTAATACATTTTCTAAGAAATTGTTCCATTCGTGCATTTTCTCACACATTCATTTTATTCTGTTACCTTCATTCACTTTTCTCGTAATTACCATTTTATTTCATTATTTGTATTCCTCTAACAATCGGAACTAATAAACTTTTAATTCCCATTAATATTAAAAAATGAAAACTGTAACATTTCTTGATATAATTGACTTCCCGTTAAACAGTAGCGACCCTATTTCGTAAACCACCCCTGTCAGCTGTTATCGCGGTTAGTCGTTCAGATCCTCGAAAAATGACAAGGTCTGAACTCCAATATTTACCGGCATAGTGAAATTTCGAGAACATTTGCTTTAATATCCGTTGAAACAGTTTTCACATAAAATGCATTAGAGTGGATTTCTCTTACCAGCATAAGTGACGCACTGTAGTACTGGGATATACATTTTAACAAAAAACTGCTCTAGGAGGGTTCTTCTACGTACTGCAGGAGAGACTCGGCGTATTTGGATTCGCTCATCACGTGTAGAAAGGATACGGCTTTTAGTACTCGTTCGTTTTTTACAAATATAGGAAATTTTAATAATTATACAATTTGAGCTGTTTCTACTCGCACAAGTCGTAAAATTGGTAAGCGGTGCAAAATAAATATGTTCTTTTCAAATTCATATAGAGAACAATTTCCAAAATATCTACTATTCCTTTTATGAAGAATCAAATTGCATTTTTCTCTATTATGTAATTTTATTATTTAAAATTTGATAATTGTCACAAACTTCTCTAATGTTTACAACGAAAATCTTTCATAGAAATTTATTTTTATTAATATATGTAGTCTCCAAAATATTTTATGAATAGTATAAAAATCTTTGAATTTTGACATATTATATTATATTAGAAAATTTTTATTTCAATGTTTTTTTAAATTACGTTTTCAATTAAAAATAATATTAACTCAGTGAATGTGAAAATTAATCTTTTAAGTATTGATCAATATTTAAAAATTAATTTGATTTTAATAAATTCCTCTCGAAATACTTCTATTTAATCAGTTTAAACTAAAATTCTTTTAAGAATTATACTAAGGACAGAATTTTATTTTTTTAATTTGAATTTCTAATTCTTAAAGTAGAAGGATGTGTTTGCAAGAATTTTTAATTGATTTTTTAAATATTTTACAATACTCCTAATTTTTTCATATTGGAATCAATTCGATAACAGATGTGAAAATTAAAAACAAAAGATATATAAACAATAAAAAAAAATAAGAAACATGAATATAATCTAAGACATGACTGATTGCTTTCATATGAAATACCTCACTTGTGAAAATTTTTATGATTCAAGTGAAACTTAAAATTAAAAAATTAAAACCAAATTTAATTCTTACAATGTAATTTTAATAATATTTAAACAAGATTCTTGATTTTAAAGTAATATAAGCAATTTAAACAAAAATTACATTACTGAAATAATATAAATAATTTCTACAATTTTAAGAAAAATGCCATTATTAAAAAATTTGTATTATTCAATGTTTTACAAGAATTTTCTTCTTAAAACTCATAAATTTCAACGAGAAAATACTTTCCTTATATAGTAAAAAATTATATAGTGATTTCGGTTTTCTTTAAACTTATAATGAATATTGTATAATTGAACATAATTTCTAATAATTTTTAATTATCAAAATAAATTAATATTAAACTTACAATTAGTTAAAAACAGTAAATTTTTTAAACTATCAATTCAAAGATAATATATCTGCGCTTGATTAAAATTTATTTCAATTTTGATTAAAAAGGAATAAGTGGGAGAATCGTTCTCTTAGAAAATTTGTTAATGTTTAATTTAGGTGACTGATGCGACTGTCAAGAATTTAGAAATGCATAATGTATAATAGTATAATTTTTATATACGCGGGTCATTTTCCACAAACTGGATTTTTCAGGCTTTAAATTTTTTTTAATTTTTGAATAATCAATGGGTATTAATATTATTTCACTTCTATTTCTTAGTTGAATAAGCAGTAAAAATGATTTTACACCAAACTTAAAGTTCTTGAAAATATTCTAGAAATAGTAAAATAGTGTTGCCATGATAGTAACCTAAAATCCACGGTAATAAAAATACAATGTTTAGAGAAACATCGCATATAAAAGTTTGAACTTATGGACTTGCCATGGTAGTGAAATTTGTGGATTGTTTTCTAATTTTTTTTTTTTATTTTCTTTTTTATTTTATTTTATTTTTTTATTATACGTTAGGGACATAAAAATCAGTTTGTGGAAAATCACCCATATAAATAGTTATATATAATATATATACTCTTTTTATGTATATAAACTCTAAGTCTGAATTAGTTAAAAATAACTAGTTTTTAGTCAAAAAGTAACTAAAAAAATAGTTGAATTAAACTAGTTGAAGTTATTAATAAAAATGTACTGAAATTTTAGATAATTTGGTATAACTTATAAATGAATTTAATTAATTTCTGGTTACTTTTAACTAATGTAGATTTTGAGTATATGCTTATTTATATATATTTATTTATTTTAAAGCCTACCTAGTTTTACAAACCGCAATTCCTAAAAATGACTTATGTTTGGGATTTTCTCTAACAAAAAATCTCATCTAAGAAACTTGATTAATTTACGATAAATAATAATAATAATAATGATAATAATAGTAATATTAATAATAATTTATCACTTCTAAAATTAGAACTTTAAACATCAGATCTCTATGCGTTTCTTAAACTCGGTCATGCACTCTAACTTGAATTTTTCTCTTTCATCGAGCTGAAATTCAATGGAGTTTTCTGATGAAAAATTATTTTTGGGAAAATAAAAAGAGGACATTATGTCCATAAAAAGTTTCCCATTTTCAAGTGTCTGATTTTACTATCTTGATTTTTCGCAAAGGCAGCTAATTACGCGGATGAATCGACCTTCGATATTAATTCTTTTTATTTTCATATTTGAAACTTTTATTCCTGATTCTTTTACTTCCGCATGGCATTTTAAATAAAAAGTTTTCTTTTTCATTTACACGAAATTGAATGACACAATTTAGTCCAATTATAATCAATTATAATAAGTTTAATTATTCGTATTATTAAATATGGAAATTATTAATTTAGTGGATAATTGTATTCAATGATTTCTATTCAGTAAAATTGTAGAGCAAGCGAAGCTTACATAATGTTAATAAGAAATAAAATTTAGAGATTATCATAAATAAACATTTAGATAAAAACAAAAATAAAGATTTACAAAAAAACAAACATAAATTTAGAAATATGATAAATAAAATTTTAATTAATTATAACTTAGATAAATAATGTCAAGAAAGTTAAAGACATAAATAAGAAAATAATATAGGGTCAGACGAGGTAAATGTAAAGAAAAAATTTTATTTTCAGCAATAACTTAATTTATCAAAAAATAAAAAAGTTTATATTTTCTTTATGAGTTTCAAGTAAACATTAAGAGTTAACATGGAATATATTGCTGCCAATTGACAAACAAAAAAAGACGAGAAAATACTTATAACCTCTTGTAGGGCAGTATTGTATTATTAAAATTTTGATGATATGTATAAGAATTTAATGTTTACATTTACTCAAAGTGACCTTAATAGATCGATATAGTTTAATTTTAATTTAAAACAAATATTATACATGTTAATTTTTTAAAAATTAATATTTTAGATTATCAAAGCTCGATTCCATCCAAGAAACGTTGGCGTGAAAAAAACGCCGTCTCGCGATTCCTTCCCCGATCTATGTACTCATCATCTGTTCGGACGATCCGCCCATGGCTATTTTGCGATCGAGAATCGGGCACGAGTAGGACTAGATTAAAGCGAAAGGGTATCTCGTCCATTTAAAAATCAGGATTCTTTCCGACACATGTTTACTTTGATTTATATTCTTTAGTGACAGACGGTGATTTTTCTTTGCGATAGGCTTGTCTGTAGAAGTCGGAAAACAAGGCGAAGAAAATCGTTGAGTGGAGCAAGAGAAGAGCAGCTACGAGTTTCGGATATCCACAATCAAATACTAAAGCCTGGGCACTGTGAATGAACACCAAAAAGAACTGGACCTGTAAAAATATAAAAGGGTTATTTTATTATTGACATCACTCAAAACATTCAGTCGAATATAAAAACACGAAAAGAAGTATTTTGCGGTGGCAGCGAACTCTTTACTCTTGCAGTAAATTTTTTTCGTTTAAGTTTCTAAAATTCTTAGGAGTTAAGTACAAATTTATTAACATCATATATAAATAATATTTTACTTATAAGATATTTTGGCAACATCTCTCAAAACAAAATACTTCAATATTTAAACTTCATAAAGAATCAGTAATTTTTTAGCAATAATAAAAATGTAATTCAGTAATTCGTATTCGAATTGTGCCGGCTAGAATGAAACTCAATGTGCGTGCCATTGCTGTCAAAATAGCCCGCCCGTTTGTGTAGCACACGCATGCTGGCAATATGTGTGTCACTGATGCCGATGTTATACGAATATATTAAATTGATTGAAATAAGTGGAAAAATAAATTATTTTATAATAAAATTAGAGTTCGTTACATTTTGTTTTTATTTAACGCCAATAATATTAATAAATATAAAAAAATGAGTATTCATCACTCATTCTTGGATTTTCCGACGGGTTGACTCTGAGACTTGAACCCTCGACCATCATAGCTCTCTGAGAGCGTCTTAACACGCTCGACTAGGGAAGGCTAAGAAAATTTTTGAGAAAATATCTCTTATAACGAACACATTAAACAGATACTTATATTATTTTGTAAAGTCATCAAACAGCTTTTCAGAGAAAAAAAAGAGAAATAATAAATTTAACATCTTCTATAAAAAATTACTACTTTTAAATAGTAATTTGGGAACTGCTCAAGAAATAATAACTTTTACTATGTCCCGAGCAATTAAGACTAGTAGCGAAGCAATTTTTATTACGAAGCGGAGCAATTATTACTATTTCGTAAGGATTTTTACTATTAAAAGTAGTAATCCGTACCACTACAACGACGCGCCTCACACCGACGGGTGGTGGGAATGTAGACGCGTCTGCAGCTGCGCGCCTGCGCGTTTGTCACTAACAACGTTTATAAAAAGAACTATATATATTTTCTTGTTTTATTTTAATAAATTAAAATAAAATAATCAATGGGTTCAAAAAATTTTTCTCCAAATAATAAACATTCTATATGTGTATTATATTCATTAATTCACAAGTTTAACTCTTTTAATATGTTCAGACTTATAATTTAACAACGAAACATAGCGAAAAATCTTACATTTATATAGATTCGAACCCTGTCTAACTTCCCTGTGGGCAAAAAACCATGTTCGTTCTAAAAACCTTTTAAGGACGTTCTTAGAACGTTTCATGTCCACCAAATAATGTTCTGGAACATTTCAAGAACATGGATGTTCAAATAATGTTCCAGAAAATGTCCACCAAATAATGATTTGGTGGACATGAAACGTTCTAAAAACGTTTAAAGAACGTTTTTAGAACGTACATGGTTTTTTGCCCACAGGGATATATCTAAACGCAACCTAACATTTGTTTACCCGCACATATCCTTCTTTAATAATGTCAATTATAAATTGTATTTATTTATTAGATAAGTTATTGAATTAAAATATAATTTTTTTTAATAATATTAATAAAAAATTTAATTAAATAAATTAAAATTACTTATTTTGTTCTTATTATGATTTTATATAAAATAAATAAGTATTATGTAAATTAATTTTATAATAATTTTATATAAAGCTGGAATTGCACATTGTAATAATTAAAAACTTTGAAGCAAATAATAATTATAATTACTATATAATCTTAATGAGTTTATTTCTTTATATTTTTAAATTTATTTTATTATTATAGGCTTAATAATTATTATAATATTCATTATTATTAATTAATGAATAATTAATTAGAAATTAAGTATTTATTCGTTATACATTAATTGCATACTTTGACGTCGGGCTACACAAAATGAAGAAATACTAGATAAAAAGTATGCTAACTCGAGTTAAGGAGTCCGAAAATCGTTGCTCGAGCCATGAGATAAGAAACAAAAACTCAGTCAACTCGAGTTGAGTATTTTTTCTGTCAAAAACGTAGTCGAATTTCATGCATGGTTTCGAAGCGAAAACCTTAACTCGAGTTAAGTGAGTTTTTATTTCGAAAAATGGCATGAGCTAGACCCTGTGTTTCGAAAGCAAACTCCTCAACTCAACATCGTTTAACTTCGGATTCTCGTCGGGTTGATTCGGAATCTCGCGTGCTTATGATCATGCCGGTTTGTTATTCTAGCAAATAATGCACCGGCTTTTTAGAAAAATTTGACTTTAGAAAAAATTGACATTAGAAATAAATAAGTGTTTAATAGTTTATTTTTTTATTAAAAACTAGACACAATGTGGCAAAATATGCTCGATGGTAAGTAATTCTTTTTTATATATATATAAGTAATGTCATTGAAAATATGTGCATATATATAACTATAATTTACATATATTTAATCAGTTTTTAAATAAAATAATGAATTAAATAAAAAGTTTGAAAGAAAATAATTTCATTACAGTATTGAACATGCCAAGGTCTATAAATTGTTTACATAAAACGAATTTGTTCATAGAACTCACTTTTAGGTTATGTTATTGACTAAAAAAACAGTGAATTCATTACGATTTAAAATAATTCAGTTTGATTTTTACGCACTAACTTTATGTTAATTTGTACATAAAGTAACGTTATAAAAAAAGTTTTAAATAATAAAGCTAATCAACATTTATAATTATTAATTTCGGAGAGCCTGATGAACAATTCGATTCGACGTCAACAATTTTATCTGTCGCGAACACGTTTACTTCGAACAATGCTTTTAGACAAAATTCAAACTACATCCCGGAAAATTATAATGTGCAAGAAATTGGAAATACTTCTGCAAATTATATAAACGTCGAGGAGGAATTTACTCAGGTACTCAAGTGTACACTCTTCCTGTAATACTTGTGTAATAACGTGTAATAATGCGTTGTTACGGTGCTGTTATAACGCAAAAAAATCTGTAATATCTCTGTAATAACGTGTAATAACTGAGTAATAAGGGTAATATGAGGTGTAATACCGGTAGTCAAGTGTACACGTTTTTAACTAGTAAATTCCCCCTCGAAAAACGTGCAATCATCAACGATTATTACACGAATTCTTCAAATTACTCCCAACAGTCAAACGGATATAGTGAACCAGGTAAGTAATTATTTATATTAAAGTAAAATTAACAAAAATGTTGGTGTGCTACTGACAAAAATATTTTTTTGAGAAAATATTTTTCTCCATTAAATTCTTCAAGTTTAAAAGAAATCAATTTAAATTAAAACAATTTTTCACTGAATTAAATGCGACAATTTACGGATTATTTCAAAAGTTACTATTATTTAAAAACATAAAATCAATTGGTTTTAATATCATTATTTATTTTCATTACTATTATTTATTTACTTTTTAAAATTTTATTATTTTTCTAATTACTATTTATTATTAGTCTATTTTTAAATTTATTTTGTATAAACGCATTCAATATTTTTATTTATATGTTATCATTTTTTATAAAATTCTTTTTTTTCAATATAGAAACATATAATAATAGTCATTTTGAGTCAACGTCAATAAATTCATCAGTTGCGAATACGTTTATTTTGAACAACAGCTTCACTTCGAATTCAAACTACATCCCGGAAAATTATAATGTGCAAGAAGTTCTATATACTTCTGCAAATTTTGAAAAAATGCAGTCAATCGTTAACGATTATAACACTAATTCTTATTCGAATTACTACCATCAATCAAACGCAAATAATGAACCAATAATGCGGAATGTGAATGAATCAATTTTGAAAGCAGGTATTTATATTAAAGTATAATTATAATAAACGTAGGCGTGTGTTACTGCCAAGAATAGATATTTTCTGAAGTTTTTTTACAATAAGTTTAATTATTTAAAAAATCAATTTAATTCGTCTCTTTTCAAAATTCAGCAATAAAAACTCTATTTAATTTTCATTAATCGAAGTCTTTTTTTTTTCTAGAAATATTTGATAAAATTTAAGAAATAATTATGGATCTAAAAAATAAAATCAATTTATTTTATTATTATTTTTTAATATACTATTTTTAAATTTCTTTTATAAAAATTCATTCAATCTTTTTACTTTATATATTACAACATTATTGAAATTCACCTATTTTTAAGGTAGGAACATATGATGTTCATTTAGAGTCAACATCGGAAAGTTCATCAGGCGTGAATTCGTTTGTTTCGAGTAACGTACTTGAAATTGGAAATACGTCTGAAAATTTAGAAAAAATTCGATTTTTAACCAGTAACAATAATGCAGCACAATCTTCAAATGAGTTCAACAAGTTTGTGATTACCTAACAAATGTTAGTAATAGCGAAATTATTCAGAATGATTCAGCAGTCATTAATTTATCTTTAATAGATGGAAAAGTTATTCGTCAGAACTGCAGTGATAGTCTTTTAGCGACAGATATTGAAAAAACCATGGATAATAATTTAAATGAAAATTCAACTGTTGAATCGAGTAAAATTTCGAATACCACTAAATCAACATCCAAACATAAAGTGAGAGAATTGAAAAATCATGAAATTTTTCCGCCTTGTGAAGTTGCAAAATGTCGTCGCAAGTGCACCGAAAGTTTAAGTCATGAAGATCGAAAAGAAGTTAATAGTGCTTTCTGGAAATTAAATTTTTTGGAAAGAAGAAATTTCATAATAAAGCACGTTTAAAAAGTTCCTATAAAACAGCGAACAAGTGATGCAAACTCTGTTCGAAATAACAGTTTTTAATTATTTTTTTTCAGCAATTCCAATAAATGTGAGAAACAAGTTTGCAAACTATTTTTCTTATCAACTTTAGGCTTACAGGGCGGAAATTATTTTATAACCAAAATCGCGTTGAAAAATATTGAACCTATCACTTTACAAGCACTACCTGACAATAGAGGAAAATCAACGGATCCAGAGAAACTTGTTCGG